ACCTGCCTTCCTGGGTGTGGGGCGCACACTGTGCTGTGTGGTCTTTGGTGAATTCTGAGGGGAACTCCAGCTCCTTGAAGTAGGGAAGATTACAAGGTGCCAGTAACTGGGGGAGGTCCAGCCTTGGATTCAAGTGTATCCATCTGTTCCAGCTCCAAATCTTTTATTTCCCCATTTTATGAAAAACCAATGGTCATTGCCACTGCAGAGATGAAAGCATTTTTATATTTTTCAAAATCCACTTTTTAGTTTACCTCCTGGTAATAATGGTTAGTTGCTTCTTGCATGGTAATGTCACTTCTATTTTGAGGTTTATCCAGGGACTGTACTACTTCAGCAGAACATAGTTTTAAGGGTTCCCCTACTTTTCCATTAAAGCAGAATATCTTAGCAACTGTGCAAACATTCCCTATCTTGGTGAGTAACTAGACTTTGTACATTGTGTAGGTTTATTCTTTGTGCGTAAAATAAGAAACCAGCCCAGGACTCATAAAACCATAAAGGGTTTTTTATTTGTAACATGAAAATTAATCTTTTGCTGAATGTTAAGTTTATAGATGTCATTTTTAAGTTACTGATTCTGATAGTGTAGTTTAAAGATCCCCTCAACTCTGTAATACCTTTCTGCTCCCACATAGGGGATGATTCTTCTTCTTTTTAAAAAAATATATTTTATTTTTTACAGAGAGGAAGGGAGATGGATAGAGAGTTAGAAACCTCAATGAGAGAGAAACATCGGCCAGCTGCCTCCTGCACACCCCCCACCGGGGATGTGCCCACAACCAATGTACATGCCCTTGACTGGAATCGAACCTGGGACCTTTCAGTCCACAGACTGATGCTCTATCCACTGAGCCAAACCGGTTTTGGCAATGATTCTTAATTTTACTGTTTATTTCTGAGAACTTTCAATAAAACTGTCTTTGATGCAGAATTTATATGTGAATATGCCAGTTATGACTTTCTTTGGAGAAAAAGCAAATATTGGTAAATATTTAGTCTTAATATTACTTACATTCATGGATCTATAATTATAAAAACAGTGATATAAAAAGACCTTCTAATGTGATTATGTCTCACAAAGCTATACATTTTAGATTCTCCATTCTTTTGTTCTCCAATGAAATTTTAATAAAGTATTGGGCTGGGATTATTGATAATTAGTAATACAAGCATTAATTTTATTTGATAGAAGCAAATATCAAGGAATCCATTTCAAAATAAATGGCTGCAGAAAGAATGTTTTCTCTATTTTAGACTCTTCACTTCGATGCAGTGAAGGAGATTCACTCCAGTTTCCAGAGTCTGAATGCTGATATCAACAAGCGCGGAGCTCCCTATCTTCTGAAACTTGCTAATAGGTTATATGGAGAAAAAACCTATGAGTTCCTCCCTGTGAGTACTTTGCTTTCACTTTTCTATAACTCACAAAGCAGTGCAGACATTTTCCAGCGCAATCAAGTCACAACATCAGTTTTCATTTTTATAAACATTCAGAAAAAGATACAGAATTTAAACATATGGCAGTATCTCTATTAATGATTCAATTACATTTGATAGTCATCACAGGAAAAGATTGACCCTGGCTGTTTTACTAAAGCAAGAGTGAATTCTATAATTCACTTTCCGGAACAATCAGTATATAGTAATTTATGAAAATGTTAGTCAAATGTTAGAAAAGAATTGGTAAATTTTATGCAATACCAAAACTACTGAACTGTACACTTAAAATGATCAAACTGGTAAATTTAATGTTATTTGTTTTTTACTATGATACAAACAGTATAAAGGTTAGAATTTTTTTGTTACAATGAAGTTTATGTCTTTTAGGACAATTTCTATTGCTTTTAAGGATTTTATAAAACCATTTCTGTATGTAGCAGAAGTTATTTGTGGAAGGTGGAGAGTGTTATTCTTTCTTTCTTTTTTAAAAATATTTTTTATTTTAAATAGGAGTTCTTAGCTTCAACCCAGAAAATGTATGGAGCTGAACTGGCCAGTGTAGATTTTCAGCGAGCCTCTGAAGATGCAAGAAAGGTGATAAACGAGTGGGTCAAAGGGCAGACTGAAGGTAAGGGAGTGGGCAGAATGTAGTCATTCATTACACACTGGCTGTTCTTTTCCTCCTCCCACTTTCCCAGCCTGCAGATGATTCCCTGCCCTTTTCCTCTGCCCTCACCCTCTCGCTGGGGCTAACCTCTGCCACTGCCCACTGCCAGACAGCTTTTAAATGTGGAAATTCCTCAAAGTGGGAACTTCAACATGCTTTTACTGAAGTAGCTAAGTATTTCCCCCATAAATTCACAAAACCACATTTTAAAATTACAACTAACATTGAATGTAAGATAAAAAGGATAAAACTTTGATGAAAATGCATCCTGGCCCAGATTATAGAAAAGAATCCTAGGTCTGTCACATCCACAATGACTGGAGGCTCAACAAATCAGAAGTTAGTCCTGTAGTCAGTGCTCTATTGTCGAGGTGACCAACTTCTACAGCTGCAGGCACAGTGAACCAGCACTGACTGCTGATGGGGCTGCAAATCACGCCTGAAGAGAGGCCTGAGGAGAGAAGCAAGGTCTGATCCATAGCCTCTTTGGCAGCTGTTGATCAGCACTTGTCTCTCTCTTTCTCTCTGGGTCTAGCCAGCAGTCCCACCTCCATTTCTCTCCATGCCTCCACCAGGACTACTGATTAGCCTCGCCTTTCTGACTAGACCCTGTTGATAAGCCCCGAGATGCTGACTGGCATAGAAACCAACCAATCTGAACCAAATCTGGGTGAACTCTGAGGAACCGATGACTGCCTAAGAGGCAGAACTTTTGATGATGACTGGTACAGAAACAGAACAATCAGAACCAAATTGGCTGGCAGAGGAGGGCAGTTGTGGACAAGATTAGGCCTGTAGGGGAGGGCAGTTGGGGGTAAGATCAGACTGGCAGTTGTGAGGAGTTAGGGGTGATCATGTAGGAAGAGGCAGTTAGGGGTGATCAGGACAGCAGGAAGGGCAGTTGGGGGGCAACCAAACTGGCAAGGGAGTGCAGTTGGGGGCAAGATAAGGCCAGCAGAGGAGGGCCACTGAAGGCAAGATGAGGCTGGCAGGGGAGGGCAGTTAGGGGTGACCAGGGAGGCAGGAAGAAGCAGATAAGGTTGATCATGCAGGCAGGCAGAAAGATTAAGGGACGATCAGGCAGGTGGGAAGAGGTTTAGGGCAATCAGGGAGGCAGGTAGAGGCAGTTGGGGGTGATCAGACAGGTAGGCAGGTGAGCAGTTAGGAGCCAGCAGTCCCAGATTGTGACAGGGATGTTCAACTGCCGGTTTCGGGCCTAAACTGGCAGTCAGACATCCCCCAATGGATTCCCAATTAGAGAGGGGTCAGGCTTGGCTGTCCCTCTCCATGCATGAATTTTGTCCTATATAATAAAAGCCTAATATGCTTAGTGCCAGGTCATCCAGTCCGTTGTCTGTTCAACCAATCAAAGTATAATATGCTAATTATATACTAAGGTTACTCAACCTATCGCTATGATGTGCACTGACTACCAAGGGGGCAGAAGCTCTGACTGGTAGGTTAGCTTGCTGCTGAGGTCTGGCCTATCAGGTCTGAGTGATATGGGCCAGACATGCCCTGTTGCCCTCCTGTGGTCCCTTCCTCGCTGGACAACCTTCCGCATCCCTTCCCGCACTGTTGGGGTCCCTTGGGCTAGACTAATGCCCGAAGAGCCAGTTTTTGGCTTGATCCTGCTCAATGAAGAGACTGCCCTTGGTGATCAGTGCATTGCCACATGGGGAACACCACATAGCCAGAAGCTGGGCTCATGGCTGGTAAGTGCAGCAGCAGCGGCAGGAACCTCTCCCACCTCCATGGCAGTGCTAGGGATGTCTGACTGATGACTTAGGTCCATTCCCCATGGAGAGTCAGGGGACCCTAAGCAGCAGTTTGACATCCCCCAAGGGCTCCCGGACTGCGAGAGGGTGCAAGACAGGCTAAGGGACTCCCCCTGCTCCCCTCTGAGTGCCCAAATTTTGTGCAATGGGCCTCTGTCTATAATAATAAAAGCATAATATGCTAATTAGACCAGATGACTTTCTGGACAAAGCCACAGTGGCAGGGATTGAAGCAGCTGTTGTGGACAGAGTGAGCCATTTGCACGATTTTCATATATATGGCCTCTACTATTCTCATACTTATGATACAAACTGCTGTGGCCATAAGTATTTTGGCAAATATCTTGTCGAAGCTGTCAGGGGTGGCTCCATCTCAGCTGTTTCTCCACCACAACTCTTTCTAACCTCATCAAGGTCTGAGACAAGGCACCTACCCAACACCTGTCTCCCAGCCAAAGCGTTCCTCATGGCCATGCTGCGGTCACAGGGGAACTGGTGTTTCAGAGGACTGACTGTCCTCGCCTTCGGATAAATGCTGCTAAATGCTTCTGTGGGAGCAGCTTCCACTTGGAGACCTTGAAGAAATGACTCATTTAAAAATCCTTTTCATTAAGAAATATTTTTTATGCCTGCCAAAGAATGGCCATTCACCAAGAAGGCTCGTTGTTTCTCATATAATGCAGAGAAGATTGTCCTGTTTTTAGCTTTTAAACCCTTTAGTTGGTTTATTTACAGTAGAAACACACTGGAAGGGCTTCCCTAATTTAATACATTAATTGGAATTAAATAAAAAGTATAAATTTGAATTGCATTTCAATGCAATTCAAAAATGGAATACTGATATGTGAATTTATTTTTTAGAATACTTTCTTCATTTCTTTAGGTAAAATTCCAGAATTGTTGGCTGCAGGCGTGGTTGATAATATGACTAAACTTGTGCTAGTTAATGCCATCTATTTCAAAGGAAACTGGCAGGAGACATTCAGTCAAAATGCCACAACAGATACACCTTTCAGACTGAATAAGGTGAGATGATGTAATTACAAAATTGCTCTTTGCTCTAAAAGAATGCAGCTAATAATGTGAGTGATTTGGTCTTTTCGACTATTCAGAAAGACACAAAAACAGTGAAAATGATGTATCAGAAGAGCAAATTCCCATTTGGCTACATTGAGGACCTTAAGTGCCGGGTGCTGGAGCTGCCTTACCAGGACAGGGAGCTCAGCATGGTCATCCTGCTGCCAGATGACATCGAGGACGAGGCCACGGGTCTGAAGAAGGTAATGGCTCCCACGCTCATGCTTCATGTTTCCGTCTGACACATGGGTTCACTTGTGTGTATGTTGTGTGGTAGTAGCCCATCAATGTTTGCTACTCTGAAGCCTAAGTTTAATTTTTCAGTGACTGTCAGTGAACAGTTGTGGTGGGTGACATCTAAGGATCTATGTTAAATTTAGAGACAGCTCACAGGAATTTTCTTAAATGAACTTTAGAGGAAAGTGCAGTAAAATTAGAATTGTTTTATTGGAACAAATTTATTAAAATTAAAAATCCCTAAACATTTATAGTAAGTAGTTTCAACTTGTACTATGAAATCCTATTATTACACTGCTCATTCTCATCACAATTCACATAGATTGTGAATTAAATTTCTAAGAGGTACATGGTAGAGAAGACCCATAAGAAATCTAAGCCTATTTTCTCATATGAACTCTGTATGATGTTTCTATTTTATTTCAGTTAAAGGTGAAGACATTTCTTGTCAGCCTAGGATTAGGCAAAACTGTGAAGATTGTGGTTTTTATTTAGTGTCTAACTAGCTGTGTGGTTTCTCTATCATCTCCCTAATGAAACTGTTATCAGGAAGAGGTACAATGTTAATTATTTGCATGCCTAAAGCCTATATTAAAATCAATATGTTCCTTCTTTTAATTGTATTTTCATATTTGTCTCTCTCTGATTAAAAAGAGAAATTTTTCAGCCTCATAAAACACATAATCAGCATCAGTAGAACAAGTGGAATGATGGGTCCATTCTAGTCCAATAGTAGTAGTAACATGCTAAGGATAATAGCTGACATTCTTGTGGCACTTACAGTGTAACATTAAATCATTTAATGCTCACAGCAATGCTATCAGGTTGGTACTATTATTAACCTTCTCCCAATTTTAGATGAGGAACTAGTCCCTTTTCTTTTTTTTACCCACAAGCTAAATCTATTAGAGATTACTTCAGCACAGTGAGTTCACAGAAAACCACAGTGATCAGAAGGGTTCAGAATAGAAGAAATAGAAGAAAACTTTTGAATTTTACCTTGCACCAATCAACCAGTTAAAGGAATAACAGCCATCATAGTCTATCACAGTAATCCAGTGTGGTAGGGGTTTAGGAAAGACTGTGTAGATGGATGGGTAGGTGGGTAAATGGATGAGTAGTTGAAGCTTCTGATGTCCAAAGTCCTTGTTACTTGGGCCCTTGATGACTTGGAACACAGCTCTGTTCTATTATCACCAATTGATGAAAAGATGAAATCCTTTAAATGAAATCTATTTTGGTACAAAACATGAAAGAAATGAATTAGCAACTGATAACCTGAGTCCATTCATGTAAATAATGTATTACCTTGCTTATGTGAAACAGTTCTCACCTCTTCTTTTGCCCATTCTCACTTCAGATTGAAGAACAGTTGACCTTGGAAAAACTGCATGAGTGGACCAAACCTGAGAATCTGAGTTCCATCGAAGTCAACGTCCACCTGCCCAAGTTCAAGCTGGAAGAGAACTACGACCTCAACTCTCACCTGGCCAGCCTGGGTATGGAGGATCTCTTTACTAGCCGGGCTGACCTGTCTGGCATGTCAAGAGCCGGGGATCTTTTTGTATCAAAAATTGTCCACAAGTCTTTTGTGGAAGTAAATGAGGAGGGTACAGAAGCAGCAGCTGCCACAGCTGGAATTGCCACCTTCTGCATGCTTATGCCAGAGGAAAATTTTGTGGCCGACCATCCATTTATTTTTTTCATTCGACACAATCCCTCAACTAACATCCTGTTCTTAGGCAGACTTTCTTCCCCATAGAGACTGTGGAAATCCAAGGCCAAGCTCAGAGCTTTATCACTGGCCCTTTCAATGGTGATAGTTTTCATATATCTTCTGCAACAAATCTACCACCCCAAACAAATCTCTAACTTCATTTGAATGTCAGGTCTGTTGGCTATTTTTACTCATTAAATTTGACATAGGTATCTATTTTCCTTTTTTTTATATTGAAAAATTCACTGATTGCTTTTGAATGCACCAAGCAGATATGTAGATTATTGAGGGTGTAGTAAACTAAGAAACTGCTCTACTCTCTTGATAGTTATGAGAAAAATTATAATACTATAATTTATTTCATAGATATACTTCTGGAATCTATGGTAGAGAGACATTCATTGCTGAAGGGAGGCTTAAAAACAGACATTCAATTGAAATATAGGAGAGCAGCCCAATTATGGTTGGATTATGAAGATTCATTTGCATTGGCCAGTGTTTCTGACCCTTTGTTTTACAGGATTAGTATTTTATTATAGGCCCTCTGATTTCAAACTAGTAAAGTGTTATTTTCCTTTATCCATCTAGTTTGTAGTTTGTGTGGGATCACAAGCAGTGAAGAAGTAAGCGTCTTATCTTAAAAGATGCCATGAAACCACAAAAAGGGAAGTGGAGTAGGAGAGTAGCTAAGGAAGAGGAGTGCAAAGAACACACTGTTACCAGCTTCTTGTGTGTGTTCTGATAAGGGCTCCTGATTTCCATCATCTAGTCCAGACTGTGATAGCAATGGATGGCTTTATGCAATGCTGGATGGGGAGGGGCTCTGTGATCATTATAAACTTAGTCAAATGCACCCCTTGGAATGGGGCTTCAAATGCTGCATTTTCTTGCTCCCATAAACTGGTGGGCTGGCTAATAATGCTTTCAAAGATTTTGCTAGCCAAACTGATCTCAGTCCTCTTCTTGTTTCCATCTGATCTCAGTAAAGACATGACTAATGAGGTTCTTGGACTGACAATATTCACATCCATGATGATAGTCAGTGACTTCATGAAAGAAAAAAAAAGATTTTAGCAAATTTGTTGACAAGCTTTTCTTCCTCTTTTTCTTAAAATACAGTACTGCCTCCTACAATATTCAAGGTTCTCTTAGCTATAGAAAAAACAAGAATATCAAGTCACTGCATTCTATAATCCTTCTCTTTGGGCTCTTATGATAAAATCTACCCAATGGTTTAGAGTAAATTGTGCTAATCAGGTAGAAACTGAACTGTCTGGTCACATGTAACTCTGCTCAAATCCTTCTCTTTATATATGAGGGAACAGGCTCATATAATATAAATAAATTATTGAAGGTTAAAACAACTAATAAATTTCAGAGCAGAAACTAGAATTCAATAAATATTTGATGTGGAGAACATCTAATTCTTTACTGTAATGGTGAATTAGGTAACTGAGACCTTGTTACACAACCAAAAAAAACAAAAACCAAAAAAAACAAGCAAGCCTGAGCCCAAAGGCAAGGGAGCTGCCATGATTATAAAGAAGTACTTAGCAATCTGGGGTAAATTGGTGACTATGGAAATGGGCACTTTTACTTCAGGGGCATTTTCCAATCCAACAGGGGTAAAAAGGCATGAAGCAGGAACTTTGATGATGTTCAAGGCCAGGAAGGCAAAATTTTGGCCTGTCAAGTATGACACTGTGCTTTCATTTGGCAACATAAGAACTACACTCTAGGTTTATGATTAAAGCAGCTTAGTATGTAGCCCTGATATAAGTCCTTGGACAGTCCCCCAAATTTGAGTACCTTGAATTGGATTACATCTATTCTAGTTTGCTACTATCCAGAGGCATATGGAAGAAGCAAACAAAATCATCCCTAGGGAAGATTGCCTATAAACCTCAAATTCCATATAATGTAAGTCTAATATGCAAATTGTCCCCTTGAGTGGTGGTCCCACCAGCAGTTCTCCTGGGAGATCAGGAGTTTGACTGCTCGCTGAGGTGCACTGACCACCAAGTGGCAGCACAGAACATGATGGGCATCAGCCATGTGGCACTGGTAACAGGCAGCAGTTGAGGCACTGCTGCTCTGATGGGCCTTAGGAAAGGAGAGCAGGACCACTGCAAGATGGGAAAGCAGGTAAGTGGTAGGCACCAGGCCAAGGCAGGTGTGACCAGCTGAAGTTGAGGGGAGCGGAGCCTCCGCCTGGTTTCCAGGTGCTGAGGGAGAAAGGGCAAATAGCAATATTTCTTGCCCTAACTGGTTTGGCTCAGTGGATAGAGCTTTGGTCTATGGACTGAAGGGTCCCAGGTTCAATTCTGGTCAAGAGCATGTACCTTGGTTGTGGACACATCCCCAGCAGGAAGGAACTTATTGATGTTTCTTTCTCATCAATGTTTCTAACTCACTCTCCCTATCCCTTCCTTTCTGTAAAAAATCAATAAAATATATTTTTAAAAAATTATTCTAATTATTTCCCTTCCAATGTGCACAAATCTGTTCACTGGGCCACTAATCATTTTTATAATCAGCTTTTTAAAATACACTATTTAACACATAGTCAAAGATAACTGGGATGGGAGAGGAGCTATGACAACATGAATAAAAATCAGCATAAAAAACAATGCAAACAGAAGTACAGGGGCTCTAAATATTAGAAATAATTACACACAAATTATAAAACAACACTTTTATCAAGTTGATAAAAACCAAGGTTAAGCATTTCAGCAGATAGCTAAAAATTTAAAAGATACTGCATATTTGAATAAAAATGAAATAGAGTCCAGCCAGGTAAGGGTCAGTGCTTGAGCGTTGCCCTATGAATTAGGAGGTCACGGTTCGATTTCCAGTCAGGGCGCATGCTTGGGTTATGGGCTGGACCCTCAGTTGGGGGTGTGCAGAAGGCAGCCAATCAATGATTCTCTCTCCTCATTGATGTTTCTATTTATCTCTCCTCTATTTCTGAAATTAATTTAAAATATTTTTTAAAATAGAACAAAACTAAAATAGAAAACCTAGAACTCAAAAATAGAACACATGAAAAACTGAATAGATAAATTTATCAACAAATTAAACAGAAAAAAAGTGAATTGTCAGACCAGAAAAAATTACCCATAATTTCTTCTAGAAAGACAACTATAATGAGTAAAGCCTACAAGGACAAAAGAATGGAAAAGATGAAAGGAAGGATAAGAATGGTGAAAATGTTTAATAGAAAAAGATAAGGCAAGAGACAATATAGTGCAGAATAACATTTAATGATCTAACATTCAAAATGTATATTCTAAAACTTATATGTAAAAACATCAATTCACAGATTTTAGAAATCCTACTCAACCCCCACACAGGATACTACAAAGAAATCCATCTCTACTCACATCCCAGTGAAACTGCAGAAAACCAAAGAGATGCACATGAGAGAAGTAAAAAAGGTCAAGGAAACAGACAAGTACCCTCAGAGGAGCCACAGTTAGAAGGACAATACATAAATCAACTGAAGTGATAAGAACCAGAGATTATAGACTGATTTAACATGCTGATTTAACCACCCTAACTCCTGCCAATCCAAGAAAAATAGTCCTTATGATATATTCAGACAAACAAAATTTGAGAGACTTAAAAATATTCTAGAGAATATTATTTATGCAAAAGGAACATAATAGCTGTAAGAAAAGAACAAGAGCAAGAAAAAATTTAAATATAAATTTAAATAAATATTGACCATATATATTACTATATAAAACAATATAATAATGTGTGCAGAATTTCAAACATACCGAAAATTAAAATAAAGGATACCATAGATGATGGGGCAGAAAAATAGAGGTAACATTTCTGGAGTCCTTGCATTTTCTGAAAGAGAATAAAAGTACAATTACCATCACTAGCTGCATAATGACATTTTGATCAACAACAGAGTGCATCTACCATGATGATCCCACAAGATCATAATGGACCTGAAAATTTCCTATTGCCTGGTGATGTTGTAGCCACCATAACACTATAGAGCAAGGCATTACTTATGTGTTTGTGGTGACACTGGTGTAAACAAACCCTGCACTGCCAGCCATAGGAAAGTATAGCATATATAATTATGCATAGTGCATGATATTTGATAATGATACAAATGTAATTATTATTATATAACTTTTATCATTATTTTAGACTGGGTAATTTTTCTATTTATGAAAGAACAATGTGCTGTAAAACAGTATGGAATGTTACAATGGCTGCAACCTCATACATTTTGTGTTTATTGTGTTTCTTTTATATATATATATATATATTATTGATTTTTCACAGAGAGAAAGAGAGAGGGATAGAGAGTCAGAAACATTCTCACAGAGAGAATCATCAATCAGTTGCCTCTTGCACACCCCCTACTGGGGATGTACCCGCAACCAAGGTACATGCCTTTGACCGGAATCGAACCCGGGATCCTTCAGTCCCCAGACCAACGCTCTATCCACTGAGCCAAACTGGTTTCGGCTATTGTGTTTCTTGATGGAATCATTTTCTCTTGTACTGGACCTAATCTCATGCTGTTTTTTACAGTAACATGCTATACATAGTTTTTGCCTAGGAACAAGAGGCTACACCACATTGCCCAGGTCTAGAGTAGACTGTAATGTCTAGGTTTGTGTAAGGGCACTTTATGATGTTTGCATTACCACAAACTTGCCTAACAACATATGCCAAAGGTAGGTGGCACATATCTGTACAATTA